TTTCGTCATCCGTTGTTAGGGTAATTCGAGAACTCCATGGTTAAAAGTAAGTAAAATGTTGTTAGAGTGCAGGTTTATACAATGGTTGAAGCACACAAGCAAGGCTTATCTGTTACTCCTGTCTTGTCGAATAGTCTATTCGACAAACAAATTTTCAAATAATTTATTAAACAAACAATTTGAATTGATCATTGTCTTTTGATGATTAATTGTCAAAGAACATATATAGAATTAAACATATACAAGTAAATTAAACATATTCAAATTATCTAAAACATATATAAGTGGATTCCCATGGACAAACCATTTGGACATGATCGTTACTGGTCACGGTCGTTATTGGTCACGGTCGTAAATGGTCGTGGTCATTACTTGTCCGCAAAAGAAAATGTCCGCTTGGACATGACCATTTGGACGTGGTCAACCCATTTGTCAGCTCTACGAATAGAGCAGCCATTTCGAGGAAATCACATGATATCTCCTTCTTCTCACATTTGTATGTTGCTTAACTTCTATCTGAGTTGTCTACCATTTTGATATCCAAGTCTTGTGTAGTTTTGACTACACTTCTGATCTTGGTTTGAAAATTAAACAATTTAAGTTTGAAAAAAAAAAAAATGGATGGCACATATATCTATAACCAAACCAACATAAATTGAAGTTTGTGAAAAATCGAACTGAACCAATAATAAATGTATAAAGTAAACCAACTCTTCTTCATCTTAACCACACCTTTTGGACCAAAAGTCGAATTTGACCCAAAGAAAACCGAAATTAAGATGATGAATCCGAATCCTGAGCCCTAATTCCCAAACTTTTCTCTTCTTCGTTACCCATTACCAAACTCATCATCTTCATCGATCGTAAAAAAATCTAGAAACCCAGATCAAACGAGCTCCAGTCTGAACCAACCAAGCAGATAAAACCTCGAAAATCCGAAACGAACAATCGTTATCGAAGCAGGAGCAGATCTTAAAAGGTTTCTCTAATATCTCTTCTTATGGGCTCTCTTGCAAATTGCGACTCTTTCTGACTAAAAAGATTGAATTTTTCTTTCCTCCTTTAAAAAAGGTTTGATCTTTTAGTGATCATTAATCCAGACTATGTAGCGTACTAATCTGGTTGGTGCTGTGTGGTTTGATTTTACAGTCTTAAGCCACATTGGCCTTTGCTATTCAAATTGTACTCTTTAATCAATTATCAAGTCTCGGTTGAGTCCAAACTAATTGTAAAATTGTAAGGGATTCTTTTCATTTTCTTGTTGGATAGTCATAGCTTGTTTGCGTCTCTAATGCAACTTCATTCTTCTGTTTTTGTAGTTCCTGTTGGGTATGGGGAAAGGTAAGCTTATACTGATCTGTCAATCTGGAGGAAAGTTTGTGACAGATGATGATGGGACAATGACATATACCGGTGGAGAGGCAGAGGCGATCGATATTAATCATGAAACAACTTTTGATGATTTTAAGCTCAAAATGGCTAAACTTTTGAACTTAGACTATACTTCTTTGTCCCTCAAGTATTTTCTCCCCGGAAACCGAAGAACCCTTATCACCATGAAACAAGACAAGGACATGAAAAGGATGTATGATTTCCATCTGAGCTCTGTCACAGCAGAAGTGTTTATTACAGGACGAGAAGGCTTCCACTCTGAAGCACTTTTGTCACCTGGTAACAGGTATGAGCTCTTATTTAACCATGTTTCGTGGAGGCAAGCAATTCTTCTCGCTGTATCTCTTTTAATCTGCCTGATAATGTAGTAAACACCTAATGATGCATCAGTTTTGCAACGCATTTGTTAACTATAAAGTATAGTATCTCTGCTGATGTCAACATAAACAAATGGTAGACAGAAACACAGTGCCTTATGATCATGGTTGCATAATACATTTCTCTATCCAATTGCAGGTCTAATACAGCGTTTGGAACAGAGAATATACAAGTGCCTTATGGTAATGTAGCAAATGTACCCATCCAAGTTGTCACAGACGCTCCTGAAGAAAACAGCCTCGTTGATGTTAATTTGAGATCTAGAAAGGTAGCCCCGAGAATTACTTCGGATTCCGGTGGCCTTATTGACATTCCCGTAACAATATCCACCAATCCAGGGGTACCAGCGAAATCAACCTCAAAAAAATCCAAGAAGAAAGGGAAGAATAGTCTTGTTTCAAATATCTCCTCACTAACTCCCAAAAGTTCCAAACGATCACTCAGAGGTAGTAATTCTAGTGCCAAAAGCTCCCCACCAACGTCTCTGACTGTTGTGTGTGGTGTGACTACCAGTTCCCCTAGCAGTGTTAGTAAACGAAGACGGGTGATGGAAGAATCCAGCATTTTGCTCGAGGGTGAAAATGTCAAGGATACAAGGAGAAGATCCCTAAGAAACAGGGGAGAAATTCGAAAGC